CCCCTCCAGGGGGACTTTGCCAAATCTGCTCCCTGGGGCGTGGAGCCTCCATTCACAAGATCCCGAGGCTGGCACCACCCGACGGGCGTGTACAACACCATCCCCGTCGGCAGCCCCCTCATCGACGACGAGCTCAACATCTACCTTGGGGCCGATGATGCCATCCGGAAGTTCGACGTCAATGGTATCATCCAGTGGAGCTACGCTCCCCGAGGTCAACTCGCAGCGGCACCCACCCTGGTCGTCGGCAGCACCAGGCGTATGGCGGAGGTCCAGAAGGACGAGCTCGAGGAGCAGCTGCTGCGGCCGGACTGGGCCAAGGGCGATGATTACAAGTTCTCCATCAAGGCCGGCGACGTCGTCAGGGTCAAGCCCGGCTCGAGCTTTCAGGCGGAAGGCGTGGAGCTCTACAAGGCCGGCGAGAAGGGCCTGGTCTCCAACGTCCTCCCTGCTGAGGAGGACAGAGTCAGCAGTGCCGTCATCCAGTGGACGCGCACCGGGCACAAGAGCGAGGTTCAGCTCACCGACGTGCAGGACCATTTCGAGCGTGTGGAGTCGAAGAAGGAGGGCGGCCTCACCAAAACACTGCCATCTATGCTGGTAGGGAGCACCACCTCTGGCTACGTATTCGCGATCGCCCTTGACAGCGGAGAGGAGCTGTGGGCGACCTGGGCCTCAAACGATATCGCTGGTGTCAAAGGGTCTGTGGCTGGCAAGGACGGAATCATAGTGGTCGCAACCGACCGTTGCACTGACAGGTACTGCTACAGGTACCGCAACCAGACCATGCCCCTCACGCCAGGCAATTCCGTTGTGCGGGGCCTGAATGCTGCAGACGGCTCCGCCGTCTGGGAGTTCAGGCCCATGTCGCCTGTGTGGAACATGGTGCCGCTGTGGGGCCCTGCCGGGAGCGTGCTCTTCCAGGACTGGGAGGGCAGGGCGTACTCTTTAGACCTGCAGACCGGCGACAAGAGGTTCCAGGTGGGCGGCGACTACGGTACGCACACCAACGCAGCCGCAGTATATGATTCGGGCCACAATGTCATGGTCACCCTCGGCATGACGCACTACAGCGAGAACCACTACCACATGGAGAACGCCCTGGGCGTGCCCGTGGGCAAGTACTGCAACCCTTATCCAGCACCTGGCATCCTGGTGAACTGCTGGACATGGCCAGGCGGAAGGGGCTTCATCCGTGGCTACAATGCCTCCTCTGGCAGGGCACTCTGGGAGACCAACACGCCAGAGCCACCGGCCAGCGCCGCCGCTGGCATGCTCAACAGCCCGGGCATGCACACACGCCTGGTTGTCACCATTGGCATGAATTGTAAGTTCAACTCCCCGTCCCAGATCTGGGCCCTCGATCCGAACAGCGGCCACATCCGGTGGCAGAGGGATGGCCCGACACTGTGGACCATGCAGTGCGCCGGCGACAAGGAGGGTGCCGACATCCGCCGCGCCATGGGCGGCCGCGCCGAATGCAAGCCAAACAGCTGGTCGGCGCCGCTGATCGATTCCAGCGGCGACGTGTACGTGGGCAGCCAGGTCGGCACATGAACGGGAAGTTGCAGGGGCAGCCAGGTCGGCACACTGATGAAGTTTGGCACGCCGACGGGGTCGGTGGCATCGCCAAGCAACGTCCACCTGATGTCGACCTTGACGACGGGCGTGGCCTTCCAGGATACAGCCATCGCGCTCGCCCCCGGCGTCATGGCCGTGTCCACGTGCACCTCCCTCATCGTCTTCCAGACACTGTCAGGGTTCGACAACGAGACTTGGTCAGTGTCGCACAGTGACTACTCACCGATCTCCCACATGGTCCATGGGGAAGAAGTGAGTCACACTATCAGTGAGTCGGCTCACGATACCTTCGACCCCAGCGAGCCAGGGAACCCAGTTCCGTGGCTGTATTGAACTTGGCGTAAGCCGAGACTTCAAAACGAGGCGTAGTCAAATGATGAAGCCGCAGTTTTTTCAGACTTCTGAAGCGCTGGAATCTCGCGCAAGGCGAAGGCGCTAGTCGGTACCATTTGATCGGATGTCCCGCCAGGAGGACAGCCAGGTAAAACACATCACAGTCAGACATCGATGCGTTATCTTAGCTTCTTCGCGAGACAATGTGGATCCAAGGTGGGCATGCCACCGCTATGGCGTGGTCTGGTCCGCCTCGTTCTAAGGACTCGCGGTTGCTCTTTTCCCTGCTCGTCCACTGCGTCAACCCTGGGATTGACACACTGTTCATATCCGTCCATGTGCACCAATCCTGGTCCCAGGATTGGCTTGGCCAGGGTCGGTATAGGTAGTTACCCAGCGTCCTCTTGAAACCAGATGCACACGTGATGCAACCCTCGCGAGGGCAGGGAAGCAGGGCGAGACGAAGATAATTGACGAGGATGGAGCATCATTGGCGGCACGCGCAATGGTTGGCGCGGGGGGGGCGGCACTTTCAGATGGAGGGGGGCTTCTTGGGAGGCAGGCGCCTTTTCGGGATGGGCCCGGGGGCTCCCAAGAAATCGTCTTCGACGCCGGGGGGGCCTCTGAGAAGCCCCCGGCCTTCTTAGAAGCCCTCCCATCTTCTTCTTCTTCTTCTTCTTCTTCTTCTTCTTCTTCTTCTTTCTCTTCGAAGGCCGCTCCCCTCGCACTCACCCCCCTTGGGCGCGCCGCCGAGATGGGGCAGCAGGAGCTGCACCACTTCGGCCTGGGGGCCCCCATGTCTCTGCAGGCAGTCAGAGCCCCGAGTTCTTAGGCCATGGGCTGATCTGGGAGAGCTCCTGATTCGGGCCTGGAGGAGGAGGAGGAGGAGGAGGAGCTGACCCCCGAGGCGGCGGCGGCGGCGGCGGCGCGGAGGGCGGAGCCCCACGCGCCACAGTTGCCCTGGATTGCACTCAGCTCGGGCTGTCCCGGGTCGCACTCTGCCCCACGCCGATCCTGCCCAGCGCTCTCCTGAACCGGGAGTGCGCCCAGATCGAGCATCTCCAAGGTTCTCCCCGATCGATCACTTTTCGGGGGCACCAGACAGGGCCACACCCGGACCAGGTCTATCCCAGATTGTTCACGTGCTCCTCGGCGGTGTGTGCCAGAAAGCCCACCCTGCGCAAGACCGTGGGGAGGAGGAGGAGAGGGGGAGGAGGAGGAGGAGGGAGGAGGGAGGAGGAGGAGGGAGGAGGAGGAGGGAGGAGGAGGGAGGGGGGAGGGAGGAGGAGGAGGAGGAGGAGGAGGAGGAGGAGGAGGGGGAGGTGGGCTGCCCCCCGGGCCCGCCGCGGCCTGCCCGGCGCCCGCCGCGTCCTCTTCGGAACCTCCGTCCCCGCCGTCCTGCTGCGGCGGACCTCCTGGCCCCCTGGCGGGCCGCGGGTCCGAGGCTCCTAGGAGGTGGTGCCGGCGCAACCGCGTGGGAGCAGCCGCTGCCTCCTCCGCCCCCTCTTGAACGAAGGATTGCAACAAAAACGAAGGATTGCAAAAAACCGAAGGATTGCAAACAAAACCAAGGATTGCAAAGGAATGCAAAAAAAAACCGAAGGATTGCAACGAAGGATTGCAAACAAGGATTGCAATCCTTCGGTTTTTTTTTGCAATCCTTGGGTTTTTTTGCAATCCCCCTCCGTCCCATTCTCTCAGCCACGCGCAGAGGGGGGTGGGGGGAGGGGGGAGGGCTTCTTAGAAGCACCCCCGCTTCTTAGAAGGCGCGGGCCTTCTCTAGAGGTGTAAGGCTGGCGCCTTCTGAGAAGCAGCCTCCTTCTAAGGAGCCCTCCCCCCTCCCTCACACCCCCTTGTGCGTGCCGCCAATCCTCCGCCCCCTCTGCCTCCTCCGTCCCATTGCCCCCCTCTCCTGCGAAGGTACACGGAGGTCTCCCCAGAGGCCTCTGGTGGTCACCAGGGGTCCCAGAGGCCCCAGGTGGACCAGAAATGAGCAGCGGCTTTGGTCCTCCTCTTTCTCGTCGCCGTCGTCGGCGGCGTCGTCGTCCTCGTCCTCGTCTTCTTTCGCCTCTCTTTCCTCCGTCTGCCATGGCGCCCCCCACACGAACCCCTCAGCGGCCCTGGTGGGCCCCGCAGGCAGCCCTCGCCTCGTGCTTGCACATGGAGCCAATAGCTTCCCTGCGCCGCCGCAGGGCGGAGTAGGAATTGTTGTTTTGCGCAGACCTGCCCCAAACGCCTTGTCTTGTCTAGTCGTCCTCTTTTTACTCCGTCCCGTCCTTTACTAGCTATATCCTTCCTGTTTCGGTTGTTCATTGTTTCGCCGTGCACACATACACAGCATGTACCTGTGTAATGCACATCTGCAGCTACATATACATATACATTCACATACGCACATACATATACGCATACACACACGTATACACATCGCATACACATATGCAGACATATACGTACATATGCGCACGTATGTTTCATTTACACATACATGTAAGCATATCCATGTCTATACGCGTTCACTTCTTGCGTACATGCACACATACATATACATATTAATGTACACGTGCATTTATATACACACAGTTTCATTTACAGTTGCACACAACCCTATATAGGTATGCATACACATGTTCATACACACGCGCGTATACAAACACAGTCACACATACATTCAATATACATACATAGGTGTGTACACATACACGTGCATCTTCATTCATACATACCTATACATATATATACACGTACACCCATCCATATACATACACATATACATATGCGTATCAGTTAGCGTACGCATATACATATGCATACACATGTACACAGACATGTCCACCGACATGTGCACACATATACCTACACACCAACACATAACAAATTTTACGTACACGCATATGCATATACATCTACCCACCTATGCATGTACACATACATGCACATATGCATGCACATGCACACATGCATATTCGCAGATTTATCTATTTACATATACATCTACATACATTCACAACCATATCCATATACATATGCGTATACATCTACGTATACGCATGTATACACATAAGCGTATATTCATACATGCACGTTTTCATGTGCATATGCAAACACACATGCACACATATACATGAGCATATACGTCATAGGCGCACCTACACATAATCATATAATAGTTACATCCAGTTTACACACACCTACACATGCGTATACGTATACGTATGCGTATACGGATACGTATCCACACAATAAACCTGTACACATACATGCACATACACATACACATACACATATTCTTGTTCATATACATATGCATACTCATGTGTATGTATAATGGCCCTGGGTCCATCCCGCCACCGCGCCTGCGTTGTGGTCATATGCATCTAGGATGTCTTAGGGGCCGTTTCGAGGCCTCTTGGGGGCACTTTTGGAGCCTCTTGGGGCGTTTTCGGAGCCTCTTGGGGGTCCCTTGGGGCCACTTGGGGGCCTCATCGGGCCTCTTTGGGGCCTCCTGGGGCTGAATATTTTTATTTTCGGGTCGTGTTCCCCTCTCGGGCACGACGACTCGAGACCCTTTTCGGCCGTCTCGTAGGCATCTTGGGGCCCTCTGGGCCTGTCTTGGCGCCCTCGTGGGCCCGGACGAGTCACACGGGAAAACGATCCAAGGCCCAGGGGAAGCGCGCCAAGCTCTGGAAGATTTGAGAATGTGGGGTCCGGGCCCTGAACAGATTCTTCAGGACGCATGACTGAGGCTCAGACGACTCGAGGATTGATGCTCAGGGGATTGGACAACGGATCTGAGGACACGCCCATCCCGTGCCAAGCGGCACCGTGGTGGATATGATGTATATGCATGCGTGTATGTATGGACATGCATATGACTTGGCAAGTGACTATTGGCCGCAAACTAAGTTTTGGCGACGGGGCCGCTTCAAACTGCCCATGCTTCAAACTCACGCATTCGACCATGTAAAGTTTGGCGACGGCGCCAGTGGCAAACCACATGGTGACTTCGGCGCACCATCGACGTCTAGGTCGGGGTTTCCTGGGTAACTCCCCACCAGCGAAGCTAATCACCTCACATGGACACATCTGGTGGGGGCACAGTAACATCGCGCCCCGCGAAGCAACAACAAGCGAAGCACACCGAGGTGTTTGTTTGGATTGTTGTGTTCCTGTTCTGTCCGGGACCTCCGACCTCCGAGCCGATGTTTTTTGTTTTTTCCACAACGTTGGCCTCCGTGGAACTAATCCCCAGATTTGGGTCGAGAGTTTCAGGGGTTACGTTTTGAGAAAGTCACGGCGTCGGAAATTTGGGGTCACCTCGAGGGACGGCTACACCGCTACGGCCGATGAGCACAGGAACGACAGAACAAACACATCGCCACATCTACATGTCTAGACTGCGTTTGCATGGTGGGGAACCTGCTCCCACTTGGTTTGCGTGCCGTCACGTGATTGAAGTGTCCATGCGTTTCGATTTTATGGGACCGCACATGCCATGCCACGGAATTTCACATAAAAACGGAGGTAACCAGTTGCATAGTACACGGCACGCTGCTACGGTGTCGCAGGCTGCTGGTATAGGTCATCAAATTCGTCTCTCGCACAGATTGTTATGTCGGCTGCCGCGTTTACCATATATTGTGTCATCACAGCAGAGCTGCACTGCGAGGCCGATCTTCTCATGCCTTCTCAGCTGGCCGACTGGCGTATTGGTGCAAAGCTGCCGCCTCGGGAGGAAGGCCTCCATTTGGGGCCTCTTGCGCGCCTTGGGGGGGCCTCTTGGGGGCCCCTTGGCCTGTCTTGCGGCGCGCTTGGCCCGTCTGGCGCCTTCGGAGGCCGCCTCGCTCGTCTGCCTGGGCCGTCTCGTGCCCTCCGGGGTCGCCGTAGCGTCACTTTGGAGGTCTCTTGGGCCGCCTTGGGGCTGGTGCCTGTTGGGCCGCCTTAGGGATGTCTTTCAGGTTTCTCCTGGAGTCCCCGGGAGGCGCCAACGCTAAAGTCGTCCACTAACGCACGGAAGATCATCGATTTCACGTTCGGGGCCTTCTGGGGTCCTCTTGAAGGCCTCTCGGGGCGTCCTGGTTGCCTCTCGGTCCGTCTTGGGGCCATCGTGGCAGTCTTGAAGGACAGTTTGGGCAGCCGTGGGGGCCAATCCACTCGAGGCA